TAAAAAAACTATAGTGAAAACAAAAATATTTTAAGCACACATTTTGCAAAAGTGATAACATTTGAACAGCAATAATGCAAATAAATTATTTCCCTTCCCTATTTCTTTTGTTACCTTTTTCAATTTGCACATGTACCCTAACCCTAACCCCCGCCCCCCCAGCATAATGAACAATTTGGCTCAGCATTAACAGGTACAGGTTTACTTCTCCTCTACGGAAATCTTATTTATGCTACTTATATACTGTTGAATCAATATCTGTAACAGTTAAAACATAGTAAATATGAATAAACTAAATAACCAATAACTAAGCAAAGTTACCACAATATAAGGATAAGTTGTAATAGCAGTGATAATGAAAAATAAAATTAATAACAAAATAATATCAGTGATGCCATGTAAGTATTTCAAGTGAAATAAATTAAAGGTGGTGAGAACCAACTATTCAACCAAATGCTCTTCACATATGTTTTATCTTCAGTAGCTCCTGGAACAAAAGGGGAAGGTCCTCAACCAGGCTGGAACGGCAACTTATCTCCTGTGGCCTCCATTCCCCTTATTTCACAAAATGTAGGGCACATTTATTTTTTTCCCCTATGAAAGGGGATGTTCAGCTGCCCCTAATCTGAGATTAATCTAATAATCATCTGAAAGTTAATGAAAACATTTTGATCCTAAATACAGTAGATTTTGGAAAATCCTGGGATGTTCACATGTGATGGTCTGAGAGAATGACCTTGAAAGTTAGGAAGAAGAGCCACAGCCAAGGCAATGGTCGGACAAGAGTTATCTCAGCCCACAGAAGGAATGGGGACATGGTAAATGTCTCAGAAGAGACCTTCCCTAGTTCCCTTTCCAGTACAGGTGAGGGGGGAGAGATGTGCTTTCAGATTTGCAAAATTCTGTTCCTGTAACCTTTATAATAAAGATAGTGTTAGTACTCATGATTTTGGTTTTTTGTATGGACTACCTCGAAGAGGTGACATCAATCTTAGAAGCCTGAAAGCACATCTCTCTCCCCTCGCCTTTACTGGAAACTAGGAACTAGGGAGGGTCCCTTCTGAGACATTTACCACGCCCCCATTCCTTCTGCGGGCTGAAATATCTCTTGTCTGACCATTGCCTTGGCTGCGGCTCTTCCTCCTGTCTTCTCACACACCATCATATCATGAGAGAGGTGTTATTTTTAACCTTTCCAATACAGGGACTTTTGAATTATATGCCTGGAGGAATGGAACAAGGGTCTCCTACCTGATGCTCTCAATAGCTCCAACAGGGACAGGTAAGGCTAAGGAAGGCAGGCTGCACGACTACATAAAAATGAAGTACTAATAATTAAACATGACAGATTTGGGGAAAGAATAAGTACTCCAAAGCCGCTCTCCCAAATCGTGACTCAGCAAACACACAGGTTAGAGCAAGGGCCAACTTGATGTATTATCTACAGAGGAACGCCGCAAAGAGATCTATTAACAGCTGCTTACCTCCCAGCACACTTTCTAACAGGAATCTCATATGCTCTAACGATGTTAACCAGCAGTTTTATATCACCATCTGAGAGATTCTGCACGGTTACTTTTTTCCTCTCTTTTCGCCTTGGTTTTAAGGGTCGCTTTGCCTCAGCCAGTTTAAAAAGGCTGACACCCAAAAAGCTACTGATAAAAAAAACAGAGTTAAAAGAGTTTTGTACATATAAAGGTTCCGTTGCTATAATTTGTCATGCTAACATTGTATGATGGCTAAGATTTCTAAACTATAATAATTCTACAAAATACACTGGTTTGGATATGGATCTCAAAACCACCCACCCACAGAGGAATAGAAATGAGAATGCAGACTGACATACCCTGAGCCAGCAGAACTTAAACAGAAGGCAGAGCAGAACAAGAAGAAAAACCAAGAATGAATCACAATTCAGTGGATGCATAAAGATTAAGAATGCATTCGTGCAACAAGCTAGATTGACTGAAAACCTTACAAAAATCTGTAAGAGTCAAAAAATAATCAAGGTCAAATCTCACTATCAGTTACATTTCTCAGATTCAAAAGTTCAACAGCATAGCTGATTTTTCTGTAGCAAGCAAGATCAGGAAGTATATGTCGTAGAATGCCAGACATTGACTACTTTCCCAACCTCTTATAAATTGTACTGGGGTCAATCCTGATATGGAAGTTACAACAAAAGCTAGGAAAGTCATGAATTGCTTAGGAGTGGGAAGCTCCTGGATGTATCAATTCCTTCAGTTCTTAAATTGCTAGCATAGGATGCTTGGGAATGCTACAAAACCCAGAAGTTGCTGGATGTCCACCATATAAGACAATGTCCACCATATAAGACAATGTCCACTCCTGTTCTATACATTCAAGGGTTCTTTGTTAGAAGATGAACAGGGTAATCAAACTAAACTAAGCACTTTTCAGGAGTAGCAGATACTCCCACAGGATTCCATTTTAGTTTTATCGATTTAACATATAATTCTTCCACTCTATTAATTCATCGCTGTCCCCACAGAACCCCTTTAGTCTCCTCTCTACTGTAAAGCCATGCCAGCCTTTTTACTGTTCTCAATCATCCTGGCTCTCTCATCTCTTTCCAAACTCTTGGAGATGGAAAGCAGCAGAATGAAGCAGCAGCAATACATGCCCCCCTCCTGCTGCTAGCAGGAGGGGAGGAAAAGCACAGCTTGTCCCATTACTTGATATTATGGTGCTGCTCAGACTGGTTCTCCTACCAGCTCTGCTCCTTGCTACAATTTATGGATGTGGTTCCAACAGCAGTGAGAGAAAATGTTGAAGGGCAGAAGAAGGCATCAAGTTTGGAACCAGAACACTACAGAGACCACAGGAATGTCAACAAACTTGGTGGAAACAAGCAAGGTGGGGAGGAAAAAGCACCTCTCTAGGAGAGAACAGACAATGGTCCTGCTCTGTGCATGAAACTGAGTTTGCCTGGACAAATGTGCAATGTTTAAAAAATCATTCCATCTGACGTTTGCATCTTGTATTTGACTTCATAGTAGGAAAAACTCCAGCCATTCAGTTTATAGAATCTTGCGGAAGAACAAATGCGTTAAAGATCTTAAACATCTGTCCAGAGTGTGTTGTGTATGAAAGAGAGAAGGTAATGGAATAAATATGTTTTGCTAGTGTCATGGTTGTAAACAAGCAAATTTGTAATTCAGTTTGTTTGCTTTGGCCCTGTGTGAATAAAGAACTAAAATCCTTCTTCATTGTACATCCAAACATACATACTGTTTCATGTGCAAACAACTGATTATTTATATTACAATTTCAAGTGTAAGATTGTTATCACACAATACATGACTTGGGTAGGGTGAAGTAAAAGCAACAGAAAAGGACAGGTTAAGCCAATTTGCGTTTTAGACTGTCCAGCTTGTACTCAGCCAACCCACTCCAGATGATACTGAAATTGGGAATGCACATCTGGCCTGCGGTGTTTAAGGACAACACTTTGCAAGATGGTCAATAGGTCTTTGCACGCACTTTGCAAAGCACTCACTGAGAGGGGAACAGAGACATGAAACTGAGTTGCAAATGTCTGTGTGGGAGGAGGAATTATACAGAACTGTCCTGTATGCATCAAAGGTCCCACAGTATTTAGTGGAATTCACGATAATGTCATCATGGCTACTCTCAGATGCCCACGTCCAGTACGACTGTGGAAATATGCTACTTCCACACAATCTATTTTTATTTCACATTGTTATCATCAACCTGCAATTATCTCCATGTTTTCAGAAAACGTAATTGAAAATGCTAGCCAAAGGTGGATTAAGTGTGATTCCACTGAAAGTTATTGAGAGAAAATCAAGGCGAATTTAATTTCAAAACCTAAAGATAAGTTTGCTTAGAAAGCAACACTGCTACATTTTAAAACAAATTAAGGTTTTCAAGGCCTCAATTGCACTTTGGAAAAAATGTAAATTAAAACTCTTGAAAATAAGACATAAGCATTACAACTTTGAGCTACCCTTATATTCTCTTCCTTACCCAATCGTAGGGATATCATCTTCATTGACCAGGTCGGAAAGAACGAAATGGTGCTTGGCAATCAGGAATCGGTTAACTACTGACTCCCTAACCTGGGGGGAAAGAAAATTACCTTGAATCTGAAATTGCTCAATTGCTGTACTGGTCAGATATACGAATGCAGCTGCCCCTTTTCTTAAAGACCCATTTCTGGGCAGTGACGATGTCAGCTACATTTCCTTAGTCAAGTATTTCTCAACCTCCGATTTCAAAGAAAACAGGGTTTTTCAAACAGCCATATTGTTTAATAAACTCTCTCTTTGGACCTACCTCTGATTTTCATCTATTCTTAGGAATCAGAAATATGCCAAGTTTTACCTACGCTAAGAGTGATTTGAAATACCCAGGATCAGGGAGCTGTTTTTTAAGCCCAGGATTTACAATGCAACATAACATCCATTTTAAAGACAGAATAGAAGATTGCATGCAAAATAACTGAAAAAAGCACCACAAGAACCCAGAAAGACCATAATGTGCAAGAGAGCTCATCATGGGGAATGTTATTAACCTGAAAAGGATGTTCTCCTGTATGGGTTAAGACAATGGAGCAAAAGGTTTATAGGATGAAAAATCAATCAATCCTATGCCATTATTTCATTTTGGCTTGCAATTTCTAATTCTTCCTTAAAAACTGAGAACAATAAGCAGATAAGACTTGAGTAGGGTGAAGTAAAAGCAATAGAAAAGGACAGGTTAAGCCAATTTGCATTTTAGACTATCCAGCTTGTACTTAGCCAACCCACTCCAGATGATACTGAAATTGGGAATGCACATCTGGCCTGCGGTGTTTAAGGACAACACTTTGCAAGATGGTCAATAGGTCTTTGCAGCTTTGTTTAGAAGCTGCAAAGACCTACTGACCATCTTGCAAAATTTTGTCCTTCCTTAACGGACCCGCTTATTTTGCCCCACGGGGGGAAATCCAGACTGCTGATCTTAGCCCATGTAGTTCGCAAACAAAACACACTTGAGATGCAAAAGTGTTTTTATAGTTTGACCTTTAATTTCCCTGGTTTGCTAAGAATGCAGTGTGGTGGCAGAGATAAATTATTGGATAAATATCACAGAATATTTCCAAGTATATTTTGCATATGTATTTAAGTACATTTAAAAAAAAAATCTTACCTTTTCGAGGTACTTTGCAACGATTGCTCTGTGTGCATCTGAATAGTCCTTGGTATCAATTACATCCCTCTCCTGCGATCTTTTCTCATAGTCCTGAAATAAAAAGAGCCACCACCATGGGACTATTCCACAATGCCATAAAGCCCCTTTAGATCTCGGTCTTTCGAAAAGACATACTGGGTTCTCTTCTCTTTCATGTTTCTCCTCACAGCAGGAACCAGAAAGCAGTCTAGCTTACCACCCACCAAGTAAAATGAAGTTTTTATACATATCAGACATTCTGAAGTACTTTAAAAGAAGGAGAAACAGATT